ACTAGTGAACCAAACAGGCAGTTTCCATTCAGAGCCCATACCTATAATCACTACATTGTATGATTTCTATCAATGTAAAAAAAAAAAAAAAGACATTCATCTCAACTGAGGATAAAACAGATGTATTGCTAGATAAAAAAATATAAGAGATGGGCTTTTCCTCAGTGAGTTTAATACCTATCTTCCCGACTCCTTAGGCAGCTTATATGTCTTACTGTAGTTGTCTATGTAGTCCATTCTACACTCCTCCTCCAGGAGATTTGCCACTACTCTGCTTTCTTTCTTCCCAGAATATACGTTTTTCTTCTTTCAAATAATCTTAATGTTCCTTTCTTTAATGTTACATCTGAATTGTTTTACACAGATTAATATTTCTATTATTAAATAAGATCAGAATATTGTCACTTTAAAATTTTCCCATTATTAAATCATTTTTGTTTGCATTTTTGACTTACTAGCATTCAATTTTGAATATTTCTGCCTAATTCTTATATTTTGTTCATTTAAAATTAATGCTTTAAATATGCATCTATTTCATAGCACCTATTTTGCCTTAACTTTCATTGCTAGCGTGTGTCATCTAGTCTTTCATTAAGTCACTCAATGGCAACAGAGCAGTCCACGCTTTTGCAAGCTTTCTTTCATTTTCATAGAAGCCTTTCTTTTACGTGACTCTAAAGACCCTTTTCTAAATTGGTAACATGCTTAAATGATTTCTAAGATTAGCCCAAACTCCTTTTTTCACCTCATATTTTCATAGAGCATCATTTTTTCCCTAATAGACCTAAATCCCTTCCATGGTGTTTTTAATTCTGGTAGATTAGCCTAATTTGTTTTTTATATCTTTTCACCAGTTCAGGTGGTAAAACTGTGCATCCTTTCAATAAAAAAACCCACAAAATACTGAAATTCACTAATATTTCCTCAGAGGAGTACTCTGAGGAAAAAAAACCCCTAAAACTGAGTTTGGAATCACATAAAATAGAAATCAATATTCATATGAAAAAGAATTATTCACTTTACACATAGATTGGGGGGGGCATATTTCTTCTAAAAACCTAATATTCTCTGTAAATTCAAAATATAAATTTTCTATAAAATACTTTTAAAATTCTTCTTGAATACAAATGTTTAAGTAAAGTTAACATACTTTAATTTGGGGAATAATTATTTTTACAGTATGTGATTTTAGGTATGTTAAAGAGATGTTATTCATAGTTGTAAAAGCTTCCTTTCCTCAGCCATATTCTTAATCTTTCCACTTTTCTATAATTCTATACTTTAAAATACAAAATTAAATGCCTTAAAAACATATACTGGTTATTTTTTTTCATGAATTTGATGTGGTTTAATCGTCTTAAACACTTGGAAACTTTTATGGATTTTGTTCTTCTTAAAGTAGATACTAACCATTTTGACAAAGGTTGGGAAATGCTATAAACTGTTATCTGGACTATGCTAATAATTATATAAATAACAGTATAAATTATTAATTTTGTGTTAACAGTAATTGAATTATTGAAGGTAATGATAGGCAAGATTCATTCTGTACTATAATGTTAATTCTAGTGACCATGAGATCATAATCTGCTGAATATTATGTTAGGGTATTAGATCAATTTGAGAAAAATTTTGGCCATAGAATAGTGAGTGGTGACAAATGTGGATATGAAATTAAAGTAGGCATTAAAGTTGTCAGGTAGAAGTCTAACCAAAAGACCTGGCTCTAAAAAAGTCTGACACAAAAAACTCATAGAATTAGCTGTCCCAGATACCACTGAGAATGTTAAGACATTAGTGGATAGAACACTCTGAATAAGGACTAGAATTAAAAGCAGCAGCTAAAGAGGGACCCAGCTAAAGAGGGCTTCCTCGTTGGGCTAGAATAAAAGGATTAAGTTTATTCACTTTGGAGTATGACAGGATTGTGTAGGAGTCCTAGCTATCCTGTGTACAAACTGAATGTTGTTGGATGAATGAACCAACCTAAATTTTAGTTTCCTCTTTATAAAATAAGGATTAAAACCAGTACTTGGCCCATAAGGATTTTGTGAGGATTAATTAAATGAGGTAACCCATGATTACCTGGCATATTGGGGTTGTTCAGTTTGCTACCTATCTTATCTTAATGGTAAAATTTGGCTTCCTTACTAGACAGCAAGACCATTAAGGACAAGTACTTTTTAATACTTGGTATGTAATATGATAAATGTTTCTGGAATTACTGAATTGAACACAGCTAATAATTTTCTCCTGTGTAAATGGGTGTTGACCTAGGGATTATTGAAGTTTCTGTTTCTTGATAGAAAGGCTTACTACTGTTTCCATAATTGTATAAGATAATGCAAATTACTTTTCTAACAATAACATTTTCTAACAATAGTTTTTTAAAAACATACTTTACATTCTTATTTGAAATTTTCAGATACTCTGCTCTTTATGGTTAAAGTAGTCATTTAAAATTAATATTGTTTCTTGATTATGTTTTTTAAAAGATTTATTCATTTATTTTAGAGAGAGAAAGGGCAGGTGAGCATGGGTGAGGAGTGGCAGAGGGGGAGGGAGAGACACACGTGAGCAGACACCACGCTGAGGGCAAGTGGGATGTGGAGTTGGGATCTCATGACCCTGAGAAGACCACCCAAGATCTTGACCTGAGCTGAAACCAAGTCTGTTGCTCAACCAGCTACACCACCCAGGCACCCCTCTTGATTACACTTTTTGCATTCACTTTATCCATTTTACTTATTTTAGATTGACATTAAACTGGCTAATAATAGCTTAGTATTCTCCATTTAAGGTTTTATATTTTGCATAGAGGTAAACCATTTTCTATGTTTTTATATGGATCCTAAACATTTCTACATAGGTACCATTAATCTTTCCTCTGCTATGGATGGATTGGCATTTAATGAGCTTGTTTTATTGAAAAAAAAAAACTGTGACATGAGAGAAACATAATTTTCTAAGATTCTCTGCTGTCTCTTTACTGAAGCCCCCTTCAAATATTCTGCATTTACCTGCAGTGAACAACAGGAAGAGATAAGAGAGCTTAGATACATCTTTACACATTTTCACTTTACCCTTCTTTATAAACTCTTTTAGAAAAGTTGTTTGGGCCATGGCACACATAGCTGAATTGCAACATTTCTGGAAAAGTAGCTGCTAAAAGGCACAGATTAAATATCTTAAGATACTGGAAATCCATTTATTTCTTTATTCAACAAACATGTACTGATCATTTATTATATATTCCCACTAGGGATGAGTAACACAAAAACTAGTATGAAACGTTGCACAATTTTCATGAAACTTATTTCCCATTATACACTTTTGTAAGATTCATAACCACTCCATCTTCAGAAGCTCAAAGAAAATTGTAAATATACTCAGGTTAATAAATATCTATGTAAGGCTTAATGAGAAAGGGTACACCTTTATTAAAACTGACTGTAGTTTTCCAATAGGATTTCGGTGATTGCACTATATTTTGATAGTTTGTTTACCCATTTGCTTTAATTACCACACTACACTTGCAAAGGGCAATAATCATGCCTCACTCAGTGCCTGGCAGAAGGTAGTTCAATCCAATTTGCATAATGAATGAATGAGTGGAATTGATGCGCATCTCACACATGCAGTACACAAGGCAACTTTGCAACATTTCCCCTTTTGACTCTTGATTATCTCTGTGATAGATGAACTAGGATTGGATTTTACATTTCTCAAATAAGAACTGTAAATGCAGTAAATCATTAATCTAGTGTTCATTAATTTGGAGTTCAAGATAATTCAGTCTGGGCTTACCTGAAATTTACCTCTGCAGGACTGATGAGGACTGATAGATTAAACTAATTACAATAGACTTAAAATCATGGACTCCTTTTAATGGGCAGATGGTTAGAACAGTGATGCTTAACATTTTAAAGAAACGTACAGGGCAGCCTTGGTGGCTCAGCTTCGGCCCAGGGCGTGACCCTGGAGTCGCAGGATCAAGTCCCACATCGGGATCCCTGCATGGAGCCTGCTTCTCCCTCTGCCTGGGTCTCTGCCTCTCTCTCTATCTCTCATTAATGAATAAATAAAATCTTTAAAAAAATTACAATAACGGATCGCAGGCAAATGTATGTCTTATTAAAAAAGGTTCATCCACTTAGGAAAATAGGCTCAACAGACCTCCACGTAGAAATGATCGATAATTGATTCTATAAATGTGTGTTGAAACTTCTACCCACTAGCCACCACGCACTGTGTGCAATACTAAAGAAGACTACAAAAAAAAAAAAAAAAAAAAAAAAAAAAAAAAAAGCCTGTCCTCAGAATACTTAAAATCCAGTTGGGATTCTAAAATAGGTAAGAATGTTAGATCGAGGTAAAGGAAAAAGTGACTTGAGAATATAGATGAAAAATACAGCATAAAAGGTAAAAAGCGAGCAAATTCACTCTGTACTAATCATAACTTTCTGTGAAGAACAGAAGTTTAATTTCACCTTTGGAAAAAAGGACCATTGTCTCGGAATTCTATCTTTTCCTCAGGTCCCGGAGGTGCCCCCTCCCCCACCCAGGCGACTCCTTCCACCACGAGTCCCTGTGAGGATCTCTTCTTCTTCACGGTCGCGATTCCACCACTTTCCGGCCAGCAAACCCCAGGGGGCACACTCCTTCGCAAAACGGCGGGGCGTTTCCTCTTCTTCCGCCGAGCCCTCAGGAAAGAAGTCCGCGACGCCGGGCCGAGCCTGCTCGGGTGAGCGCGCGCCCGTCCGCGCCCGTCCGCGCCCGTCCGCTCCCCCGGGGCCGAAGCCCGCGGTTGCCAACCAGCAGCCAACCGCGCGGCGGGCCGCGCGGGCCGCGGGGCCTTCTGGGACTTGTGGTCTCTGGGCCCCGCCCCCGTTCGCCTGCCCCGAGGCTGGAAGGCAGCGCGAGCTGGGCAGCGTTCCAGGCTCCGGGTCTGCGTCTGCGCCCGGCCGCGAGGGCAGGCGCTCGGGCTCCCCCGGCCCCTGGTCAAGCGCTTCCTTCCCCGCCTGCACGGGCTCCCCGCGGAGGGCGCCCTCCCTCCTCTGCAGGAGCCCCGAAGGTAGGTGGGGAAGCGCCCCGCACACCTCCGCTGTCCAGCCTGGTCGGCCTCGCCCTCCGCCCAGGTGGCCCGGCCGTGACCTGAGTTCGCGCCTCTCGCACCGCCGTGTGGAGTTGCGCACACACTTGGGGTTTCTCTTCACCTCATTACGTCGATCGCGCCTGCACCGGAGCTTCCGGGGCACAGAAATTCGTGGGTGTCTGTGGCGTGTTCCACGCCTCTCAGCGTATTTAAGTCTATTTGACCATCAAAATAGTTCCCGAGGCTTCAAGGAGAAGGCAGGGCCTGTGTTTAGAAGCCGTTGGTGGAGTTGGCAAATCCATTCAGTGAGTAGATCTTTGGTCACCCGCTTTCTGTTGGAGGAACTGTATAAAGTGCTGTAGGTGTCAGAGATGGCGCACGCACGCCTTCCTCGCCCCAGGGCCTCACAGGCTTGCGCGAGGGAGGAGCAGGTGATTGCTGAAGGAACCTTCAGAGGAAAAGGTGACGTTGCATGAGAAGGATCTGACAAAATGCTGTGGGACACAGAAGCTTCGTGGAGAAGAGAAGGCGGCACTTGAAGGAGGCAGAAGTACCAGATATTTGGGAAATAGGGGAAGACGTTAGGAATTCATTACAGATGAAGGGGTTAGTAAGAGTAAAGGCAACATGGAAAAAACAGAATGTCTCAGTGTGTCTGGACTGTTAGAAGTGGCAGGAAAGAAGACCGGAGAAGTAGTTTGGACTGAGTTATGAAAGGCTTCAGGTAGCTTCCTAGTCTGGAATCACAGAAACATGTGGACTTGAATTTCATTAGGGCCTATAGATTATATAAGGAAAGGTATTGTTTAATATTCACAAAATACTTAAAATGAAAAAACACATAGTGACGTGGACTCTGTTCATGAGCAGGATATATTTTTTCAGTAGCAATTTTTTAAAAACGATTTTATTTAATTATTCATGAGAGACGGGGGGGGGGGCATAGGGCACAGGTAGAGGGAGAAGCAGGCTCCCTGCAGGGAGCTGTGTGGGAACATGATCCCCACCTAGGATCATGGCCTGAGGCGGAGGCAGATGCTCAACCTGCCGAGCCACCCAGGCGTCCTAGTAGCGGTGTTTTTGTCAAATTATTTACACACACACTGATGACTTTCTTGGGCTTGTTTGTATTGCCTTTTTCCTATTTAAAATCCTGAGAGGGGATCTCTGGGTGGCACAGCGGTTTAGCGCCTGCCTTTGGCCCAGGGCGCAATCCTGGAGACCCGGGATCGAATCCCACATCGGACTCCCGGTGCATGGAGCCTGCTTCTCCCTCTGCCTGTGTCTCTGCCCCCCCCCCCTCTCTCTCTCTTTCTCTCTCTGTGACTATCATAAAAAAATTATAAGAAAATAAAATAAAATAAAATAAAATCCTGAGAATTTACAGTGTATCATGTGGCCGCAATGAGATTCAGTCACTTGGCAAAGATTTGTGAGCTGCTATCCACTCTTCTTGTTTTTATTTTGGAAGACTTACTGCTTTAAAAGGGTTTTAGATCAAGTGCGATAAAGAACGTGTTTAATTTGGAACATGTATAATCTGGATGACTTTTTTCATGAATGATGGAGGGAATACCAGTATTTGGAACTGGCTTTCCAAAACAAGTATTTTGGAGGCTTTGTGAAAGCTTAGAAAATGCTATCCTAAATATGTTTTCTTTTTGCGTATATAAAGATGTTAGGAGTCCAGTATATCGTGGGAAAGATCAGAGAGAATAGTTTAGTTCTTTCGCGGGGCAATTGCATGTCACCTGTATGTTAAACTACTTGAAAAAGATACTTGAAGTTGAAGGTCAAGAGTCACAATTTAATAGAGCCAGTTAAATTAGGCCTGGTCACTTTGGAGCTTTATTGAGGGAAGTGCATGACTCTGCACTGTGAAGAATAGATTGGAAGGAGTGAAGAGATCAGTCAGAAGGTTGATGCGGTAATGAAGACAAGAGGTATTAATGGTTTGAGGAAAATATAGACACATCTTTAGATTCGGTTATAGAATTGACAGGGAATTGAATAGAAGGATAATTAGGGGAGAAGTGCCACTAAAGTTAGAGAGCAAAGTGTTTTAAGAATAGAGGAGTGGCCAATAGGGTCATATTAGTGGTCTGATGGTGCTGAGGAATAGAATGAGGATTTGTGAATAGACATAAGGTTTAGCAATTATGATGTCATTTGTGACCTTGGTAAGAACAGCTAGGTTCAGCAGGGGGGTTAAAGAGGGCTTCTTTTCTTTTTTAAAGCTAGGAGCAATCTGAGCTTGGTTGTATGTTGAGAGATAAAAGTCAGTACAGAAAAAGAGATTGTGAGAGCAGAGAGATGGTTGGTAGAGATGATAAGGATTGAGGTGCAATTAGGGTACCTTCTTAGAATATTGTGTATGGTGTGTAAGTACAGGAAGATGTTGATTTTTTTTTTTTGAGGAACATATCAAAGAATAACCAGAGCTTTCTTATATGCTTGCACAGTACCTAGGATCCAGCTTGCTAACCTATTGATTCATTCATTAGGTCAGTCATCTGATATTTTTTCAGATGTATTAGGTGTAGGGATTTCTCCTATGAGCAGACAGATAATGAGCTCAACGGAACTTGCTTGTCACTGAGGGATGTAGACATTAAAACTAATTAAAGAAGGAGTTATCCAGTTGTAGTTGTGGTAACTGATGTGAAACAAGAGTATAGGAAGTTAAAAGTGTATGTATAAGAGGGAGTTGCCATGGTCTAAGGAAGGCATTTTCAAGGATAGAAAGGTACCTAAGAGATCTCTCCTCCTTTCCCCATTCTCTTTCTGGTGTCATCTCATTCTTGGTTCTCTGTTTGTTGTTGGGCTCAGTCTCTTTTCTTGAGCACTTGATGTGTATTTTATCAGTGGCTTGGTGGGGTGACAAAACTTTCAGGAACCAAGGCTTTGCAAGGATCTTTCTCAGTCTAGTTTTTGCTGCGTTATAGTGACTAAATGTGAACTAAGTGTCCGTTTAATTTTATTCATGCTACATTGATTACCATTAGGGAAAGAAGAGGGCTTTTGGAATGGCAAATCAACGGTCAGCCACAGCCACCACTGACTTAGCCTCTTAACATCTTTTGGAGGAACCACAACCAGTATGGATCCTGTCACTTATTAGAAGTTTTTGGTAACAGCCAATGAAAGCTAGGTTTTGTTTTCTTTCATTTAAAATGTTAATGTTCTCTGGGACAAGTGATTGGAGAAAAAGCATCCATTTATGTTTCCGTCTGTAGGAAAGTGAAGGTACTATTGTTGCTATGATTTTGCATTTATATAGCATTTGAGTGTTAGCTAAGTGATTTTCCTTTTTTTTAAAAAAAAAAAAAGATTTATTTATTTATTTGTGATAGACATAGAGAGAGAGAGAGAGAGGCAGAGACACAGGAGGAGGGATAAGCAGGCTTCATGCTAGAAGCCCAACATGGGACTCCATCCCGGAACTCCAGGATCATGCCCTGGGCCAAAGGCAGGCGCCAAATTGCTGAGCCACCCAGGGATCCCACTAAATGGTTTTCCAATCAGTTTTTTTGTTCAATTTAAAAGATAACCTAAAGTCACCCTGGTCCAAATTTGTTTGGTATTATTTAGAGAAAAGGATCTTTTGTAAAAAAAAAAAAAAAAAAAAAAAAAGGGCCTTCTATGATATGGAAAAACTCTGATCAATCAAAAGACTAGATATAATCTAAGACAACGTGGACATTATCTGAAGACAGCTCTCAATAGAAGACATTAGCCACATGATACCTTTTTTTACAATGAAAGAAGACAAATAAAAAACAAAAAGAAATAAAATCCTGCAGGAAGCCAACCCTCTCATGATTTGGTTTGTGACTACAGTATTCAGAGATGTTTTATGAGTTCTTACATCTATGTTCTTAAAGCATTAGGTTTTATTTAGAGCAAATGTTGGCAAACTTTTTCTGTGCAGGGCCAGATAGTAAATATTTCAGACTTTTCAAGGCCATGCTGTTTCTGCAGCAACTGCACAACTCTGAAGTTGTAGTACTAAAGCAATAGACAATACATAAGAGAATGGCCATGGCTATTTCAATAAAACATAGTTTATACAAACAAGGCCACCCAGATTTGGACTGTGGGCCATCGTTTGCCAACCTTAGATCTATAGCACTTCTGAGGTTCTTTTACTGACTAGGGTGTTACAGATTGGAATGATTGATAATCATCTCAAATCTCTATGAAGGCAGAGATGGACTTGTCGTGCTAACTGTTGTGTCCCTGTGTCTAGCACAGTGCCTGACAGGTAAGACATAATTAAACATATCTGTTGAATGAAGGAATGAGGAACAAGGCTACTGATGGAAAATTGCCTGACCAAGTTTGGGTAGATGGTTCTATATTCATATTTTCAGGTTCTGTAACATGTATTCTATGGTACTACAATTTTGGGTACAGCAAATATGTTGCAGCTGAGTGCTTAGTTCAGAGAATAAATCCAGGAGGATGCCTGAAGAATCAAAAAGAGCCAGTGATACAAAGTGATGGTAAAGAACAGTAGGTCTATGAGTCCACCAATAAAAATGAATACTACATCCTTTAGAAGGGACCTGAGAGAGGGACTATATTCCAACTTCTTACCCAGGCTAGGGCTTTCATTGTTTTCCCTGTTTTGTGTGCCTTGCTAGCATTTGTGCTGTATATTCTCCTCTGGTCCTCCAGATTTCTCCACTCCTCCATCCTGCAGGTTCATACCAGGACCTGCTCCCTGCACAGTCCTAACAATGATCCTATAAGGTTGTCCTTTCTCCACCATACTCTCTCTCCAAGTTCTGGTAACTGCTTCCTCCTCTCATCCCTTTAAGGCCTAGAGGAAATGAAGGATGACTTTGCCCCTTTCTGTTGTTGCTGACTCTCAGGTTATTGTGTTACCCCCTTAAAAGTTGCCCACACTTTAAGAAACAGTCCCTTTATTAAACTCTCTTCATATTACCCTAATTGTGTTACTTTTAGCTTTCTGTGTGGACCCTGTGGTTATGGTGTTCATACCACTTTTTCAAAGGTACCTATCATATGCAACTGAATGACTTTTAAGCCCTCCATAGTCAGTGACTATGGCTTTTATTTCTTATAAGCATAGGATCTCAGGGTGAAAGTGGTCCTGGAAGGTGATCCGTTTAACTTCTCTGTTCAGTTTGGGTAGATTCAGCTCCATTCTTATCAGAGTTTGTAGCACCTGAGCACTTTCCACAACAAGGAATTTACTCCTAATGTTCTCTTACATGTCTTTAGACACATCTGACTGGTAGGATTTGCATATATAACTTCCACACACTGTCCTTGTCTT